CTGCCCCTGCCCCCGCCCCCGCCCTGGCTTTTAAGGAAGCCAGGCTTGTCTGCCCTTCCTTTTCCCGCACTGGCTGTCCCTTCCCCACATCCTCAAGGGCTCCCCTTCACTTCTGCTCTAAGCTGGGGCTACCCCAGTGTGGAGCTCAGACCTCTCTTCCCCTCAGCTACCATGGGTCCCATGGTGACCTCGTGCAGTCACATATGTTTACCTCTGCCCAGCTCTCTCCCAATGACGCCAAAACCCTATGTCCCAATGCCTGTGGCAGCCACCCCACATGCCTACCAGGTGCCCCAGCTGAATGCCCCAGCTCTGGCTCTGCCTCCTCCTGAAACCCGCTCCCCAGTCCCTCCCCTTGCAGACAGTAGCCCTCCTCTCACCCCCACACCTACGTCATCAGCAGAGCTGACAAGTTCTGTCTACTCTGGACCACCCAACAGAGGACTACTCCTGGCCACGTCACTCCTACCACCTGGTCCGCACCACTCCGTGTCTCAGTGGGCCTCCCTGCTCTGCCCTCCCCCATCCCGAGTCTGTTCTCAACTCTAATCACACCGTGCCACTCCCTGTACCAAATGCCCTGTGGCTTCCCAAAGTATCGGGCACCAGCTGAGAGGCCCTATGTGTCCTCCCCTATCGCTGCCCCCTCCCCCACACCAGCTTCTTGTCGCTCTTCACCCCAGCAGGCTGCTCCCACCTCAGGGTCGATGTTGCAGCACTCTGCCTGGAGCTCTCTGCCGAGGGACCTGCTGGGTTCAGCATGACTGCAAGTTCACCCCAACTTCACGGAGGGAACAGCACAGCACAGCCTGGACCCTGCCCTTCTCTCCTGCATTTTCTGCCCAGCACTTCCTCTCACCTGATGTTTTACACACTAACTGACTTTCTGTCTCTCTCCTCCACCCCCATTCCAATCCCACTGTCCCTCCACGGGGCAGGGTTTCCTTACCTAGGCTGTTCCCTGGGTGTCTGTGCTGGTACCTGCATCTGTGCCAGCACTACCTGTGAATGTGACACGTCTGTGCCTGGCTGCCCGGCGGGCACTGTGACGAGCTCCACATCCGTGCTCTCACAGGTCCAGCGTGGCAGACACAGAGCTGGGCACTGACTGAGCACTCGGCCCCCACCCTCCACCCTCCTCAGACTGTGCCGCGATGGGTAAGAATATGGAACAAAGCTTTCGGTGGATGACTCTAAAAATACATATCTACAGGAATGAAATCCTGACCACCTTAAAACACCAAATTCAAGTTTCTTAAAACTGCCCTCTATCAATCCCACCAGAAGCCAAGACACCCCATCTAAGTGGTCTCAGGTGACAATCGTATGATACTGGGGTCAGGCTGAAGTTTCACAGACAGTAAGGACCGCAGTGCCTCCATGCCCCCTCGAGCACCAAGAGCCCAAGCATCGTGTGCCCAGAGAATCCGCCAGGCGGACGACCAGATGAGCACAGTGCTGGAGACCCAGAGCTTGGCTGGCAGCTGGCGAGCTGTCCTGGGGGGACCCACCCTGGTGACAAAGGTGTTGCTGCGAACAGGTGCAGAGCATCCTGCACTCTGGTGGCAGACATGGTCCAGAGACCAGGAGCCTTTGGGAAACCTACGGAACATCCCTGAGCCTTAGGTTCCACGATTGTAGAGCAGGAGATGACAGCAACCTGCGGGTCACTGGGAGGTGGTGAGTGGAAACTCCTTTGTCCCAGGACCTAAACTGACAACTATGGGAAAGTGACTGTACATGATTTAATGAAAGACTGGTATAAGCGCCCACCCTTCAGGCTCCTCCCCATTACAACAGTGAGAATACGGGACACACCTGCTGTTTGGCCAGCATCGGGAGGATGATGTCGGCGACCTGCCGGGACAGCCGCTTCCACTTGTCCTCGCTCTCCTTGTGGCACTGCTGCAGGACCAGGATGAACATCTCCAGCACCTGCAGGAGTGCATGGCACTGTCACTTCCGTCTATCCTGGCTCAGCGAGGACACCAGGACCAAAGCACCGTGACCCCAGTGAGGGCCTGATGAGCCCACAAACCCTGGCCCTGGGACACGTGAGACAGGAGCCAGAGGACAACACAGGAGCCCAGGAACAACTCCCCAAGAGTCCGCTCCCACCACACCCACCTTGGCAAGACCTGCCCGTTACTTCTGAAGAGCTTACGAGACTCCACAACCAGAGAAAAGGCACCAAAGAAAATCAAACTTACATTGACCTTTGGCAAAACCCAAACATAGCCCTGACTAAACTACTCTGCAGGCGCCCCATGACCCTCGGGGATGTTGGCTCTACTGAGCTCTCTGCAAAGCCATCTCCTAGTGGGCAGCTCTGACTTTCAGGGGTCACCATGCCTGAGGGCACTTTACTAGTGATTATGTCTACACAGAGCAGCACAAGGCTGCAGCTGTAAGTAAAGTTTTATGGGCACACACCTGACCCCCCAGTGAGCATGCTGACCAGGACTCTCACCCACAGCAGCAGACCTGAGTTGCAACAGATATCACATGGCTGCAAAGCTAAAATATTTATTTGCTTGTTTATAGAAAATGAAAGAATGGAATAAATGAAGAAAAAATTTGCTGATCTGGTCTTTAAAATATAACTGCTATAAAAAAGAGACATACCCATGTAAGCCCACCCTCTCCAAAGCACCGACTGTCCCTTTCCACCTGCCTCTCCCTTCAAGGATGTGGCCCTGCCTCTACTGCAGGAGGAAACCTGCCCATAACCTGCTCCCCTAACTAAGACGAGCCAACCCCCTCTGGTCTCTCGCAAGCCAGGCGGAGAACAGAGCAGCGACTCTCCAGGCCACCCGCCCCACCACCCAGCACGCTCACCACGTCAGGCTGGCTCGCACACCTCTCCGGGGCAGGTGTACTTATTATTGCAATTATGGGTTTAATTAAACACCAAGCATTTAATTAAATATTACCTAGATTAACAAAAATAAGAATGTACAGAAAGTCTTTCTGAGAAAAGCTTATGACTTTGTAAAGGTTTGAAGACAAACAGCTAAAAATAATGACAAAGTAAGTGAGGGCTAGAACGCTAGACAAGCTGAAAGAGAAGAGCTACTAAAAAGGCCCGATTTCTGCCCTGGCCAGTGTTGCCCAATGGTCAGAGCATTGGCCCAAGCACTGAAGGTTTCTCCCCGCTTCCCTCTTCTCTCCCTTCCGCTCTCTAAAAAAAATCAGTGGAAAAAGTATCCTCGAGTGAGGTCCGGCTGGCGTGGCTAAGTGGTTGGGCACTGACCTATGACCTAAGAGGTCAGGGTTCAATTCCCAGTGGGGGCACATGCCCGGGTTGCAGGCTCCATCCCCAGTCGGGGGCGTGCAGGAGGCAGCCGATCAATGACTCTCTCACCACTGATTTTCTATCTCTCTCTCCCCCTCTCCTTCCTCTCTCTGAAATCAATAAAGACATATTTTTTAAAAATATCCTTGCATGAGGATTAATCAATAAGTAAATAAATAAGTAAAAATAACAATAAAAACTTAAAGGCCAGATTTCTGGACTTAACTGCCTCCAACTACCTGACATTCTTGCTCCACCTTAAGAAAAACAAAACCCAAATCAGCTCAAAGAAACAGAGCAATGCTGTCAACCAATCATTTTTAGTCCCCATTTGGAAGAGGGCCTCGCGGTACATGGGCCAGTGTCGGGGCCTCCTCAGATGTGGTGCTGCTTCAGACAGCCCTCCACCAGACTCCTCCTGGCATCTGCCCAGCCCCAGCGCCCAGCTGGCACAGAGTACCACCCACTGACGAACAGATGGCAGCCCTGTGGCACCTCCATCCCAGCAAGGCGACGGAGGACATGGCCACCCCTTACCTGGTGGTACTGGATGAGTCTCAGGAGCATCGACACCACTACCTCCTTCTGGGTTTCCAGCTCCTTTCCTGCGTCAGCTTTGTTGGTTCCTCTTAATACGAAGAGGTCGTGGACTATGGGCTGCAGAGCCGGTATGGCTGGGGGACAAGAGTCTGTGCTAAGGAGCCAAGGAGTGACACATTCGGAAGACGGTGCTAACACCTCCAGGTATTTTCAATAAACAAAGGAAACCCTAGTCCATAGTTGGTTTATGATAAGGGACAAATTAGGGTTATTGGGTATTATGACATTATCAGAACACCACTGGGAAGGCCACTGGTCTTCCTCCGACGCTTAAGTGGTCATTCTGTGAAACCCTTAAAAAAACAAAAACCTAAGGTTCCTGTGACACAGCATCACCCGACAGAAAAGTCACAAATTCAAACATCAAATTCAAAATAACAGAAGCTCCCCACTCACTGAGGTAACAACAGTCTACATTCACCCATAATCTACCTACAGGCTGACCTGACGATGCAAATGCTTCTTCGACAGAAAGTATTTAGTCCACGTATCAAATATCTACACTGTTGGCGGTAATGGCCTCATTCTCTCAGGAGATAAATGTTTTCCCCCAAGTCTCATCTTTATGCAAAACAGCAAAGTAAATTCTTCAATTTAAACAGCAGCTGATTAAACTCCAAGGAATGCTTCACTGGGAAGGGTGTAGCCCAATCACGTCACCAGATCAGTGGACGGCACACTGCCTCACCTGATGACACACACGCACAGGCACACTCATCTAGTGACACACTCAGCACACCTGCTGACTTCCCCAGATGTCGGAGCTTTCCCACAGAAAGCAGTGGGGTTTGGCTGCACACCGATTTCCCATCCAGAGCCCTCTGATCCAGGACACATGTCATCTGCACTGTCCACTATGTTGTGACCCCTGTGTGCACACATGTGGTAATGTGCAGGTTTGCTGAGGCCTGAATTCTGGCCCTGGCAAGGCGAGCTGGTGTGGACACTGAGACGGCCTTGTCTGCAGCAGAGTGGGAACAGCTCAGGTACCTGCTGTCCCGCAGGCACACGAATGGACAGTGTACATGCCCATCCTCGAGTCACGGTTTGCAGAGGTCTCAGGAAGTGTCTCTGTCAAAGTTCCAAAGCCTACAGGTGCCCGACGATGGAGCAGAGAGGAGTCAACAGAGAATGCTGAAGCTCAGTTTCAAGTCCAAGAGATTTTAGCTCATTCTTAAAACTGCTCAGCCTTGGTCCACAGGTGGGCGTGGACTGCGTGAGCAGCTGCCCATTCTCTGGGGTCCTAATAGAAGCTCCTATAGAATCACCAGGGGAACAGAGGGTCCTGAATCAAGGCCACTGTGCCTCCTAACACAGCAGGTACCACACATCAAGTGTCCTTACAGAAAAGAGTGTTTATGTCAGACCCCATTTGTGCCTCAAAGCATCTTACTGTTTCTATATTTTTACCTAAGAAGACTCTAAACTCCCCAGAGTAGAGTGTGCCCTCTCCATATGCACGCACACACGTGCATGCACACACAGGTGTCCATGCATCCACATGCATGCGCACAGAGCCACCCAGCAGAGCAATGTGGACACACAGCAGGGCCTGAGGTCAGTGTTGCTGAGCACACCCTACATGAGAACCCCAGCGAAAAGCCTGTCCCGTTACCGTGTGCCACAGCCTTCCTCCCACTAGCCATGATGCCGTCGCAGAGCTGAATGATCTTAGGAATTCCAATGATCTGTTTTGAATGATAGCGCTCGTAAGACAGCAGCACCAGGAAGAAAAAGATGTTTGGAATAATTGCCTCTGATTCCCTAGAAACAAAAACATCCTTTTAGACACTTCCTTTTAAAACTAAGACACACATCAATAAAAGCACTATGACGTTACTCAAAGGGAGCCCTAGCCTAGCCATCTACTTTGGTCCATCTAGGTCATGACAATGGCCCATCTGCAGAGAACACGTGGCTGGCAAGGCTGTGAGAGCAGGAAGCACCCAGCAGCACTGGGCGCCCAGAGGTGCAGGCTCCTCAGCTCTCCTTCTGCTCCTCCACTGTTCAGCTGAAGAAGTTGAGACCCCAGGAGAAAAGGTAACCTGCCTCATATCAACAGTCAACGGTGCCACATGACTGGAATGAGAAATGGGGCCTCTAGCCCCCAGGATTCTTAAAATGCTTTCCTCTGCACTGTTCCCCTAACAGCTGATTGAGTAGTTGAGAAACTCAGGAATCCTGGCCCCCGCTCAGTGGCTCAGTTGCTTGGAGAGTCGTCTCATACACCAAAAGGTTATGGGCTCAATTCCCAGTCAGGACACATACCTAGGTTGTGGGTTGGATCCCCTACCAGGGTGTGTACGGGAGGCAACCGATGGATGTTTCCCTCTCACATTGATGTTTCTCTCTTTCTTTCCCTTCCTCTCTCTCCAAAATCAATAAAAACATATCTTCAGAGGTGAGAATTGAAAGAACTTTAACTTTCAATAATTATAACCACAGCTGCATAGGAGGAAGTGTTAAACCTCCCAACTAGCAAGGAAAGCTGTAATTGACGTAAATGCACAATAACTACCTTTACTAAAATCACTCATATCTAAAAACGTTTTGTGTTATACTATACTAGATATTTCATTTAGCAATCAAGTATCATAAATGCTTTGAAATGTGAAATGAAAACTGACAGCATCTGTGATTACTAGATGTAGACCAGCTTCTAAAAAAGTCTTCAGCTACTTCATTTTTAAGAGAAACAAAAATCCACAGCATATTAGTCAGATTTCCATTAAAAAAACCCCAAAAAACTAGCAAAAATGCCTAACAATCTGCCCCGGCTGGGGTGGCTCAGCGGTTGAGCATCGACCTAGGATCCAGGAGATTGAGGTTTGATTCCTGGTCAGGGCACATGCCTGGGTT